TACTACATTGTCACTATTAGAGCATGAAAAGTGGGTGGAATTTGAATTTCTAAATTGGTTCAAAGAAACAATATATATTTTGATAAGTTACTTTAACCTTATATATAATCAATTAATTTATTGAAAATAATAATATCATATATACACTTTCAACATCAATCAGGTCCACAATGAAGTAAGAGATTTGTAAAAGCAAGGACTATTAAATCTAGCTTGGGGACCTATAACTACAGGAAAATCACTCATTACTGGCGATTTGTTATGGCGGTTACACTTGTTTTCCGGCAGTTTGGAAAAACACCAACTGCTTCTCGGCAGTTCAAAAACCGCCGGTTAAGCCGCCATTATTACCGACGGCTGGAGAACCGCCTGTCCAGATCGCCGGTAATTGATGAATTTCATGTAGTGTATGAGAGCAGTGAAATATTGGCCAATTTTTTTTTGCTAACGATTGTAGATTTCAAATTAAAGCTTGGTGTGAAGGTCAAAAAATAGAAAACTATGGTGTAAATGTGAAAGGGAATAATCATACATGAGATGATTGTGAGTATTATGAGGACTCACATGAAGTACTACAATTGGAATATCCTGGTGAAGGGAACATTGTGTATATTTTTAATTATGATTTGTTTGATTCACTACAAAATAGAGGAACCAGGGTGCATCCATTTTATGGTGCTAATTTAAGTATATTATAGAAGGAGATGCTTGATAGAGAACCCACTACAGTTGATTTACACATTGACACTCATAAGCGTCATGAGGATCAATAGTGGGTAGATGAGCAAGCTAGGAGGGCATATGTAAGTATATAAATATATTATACTTACAAAATATTATAAGTGATGATTATACAATGATTAATCTTATATTATATTTTGTAGGAAGAGTATACAAGGCTTTGAGAAAGCTACGGGGATTTACAGATGTTTCTAACTACCACACTTGGTCGCAAGTAGTTAGTGAAATGTAGAAGGGATGTGTTTATGGATTAGGCTCACAAGCTTATGCGTACAAGGGATTGTCATCTTCTGTTACTAGTTACTCTGTAGGTAGCCAAGAGAGTTTATATAGCTAACTTGTGGCTAACTTAATAGCGAAGTTAGAAAATGTTTGAAAAATAGAGACGATATGAACATTCAGATACTATATGAGCTTAGGATATTGAGAGAGAAAATTAGCAGAAATCAACCTGTGTCAGTCGAGCATGATAACGAGGATACATATTTTACTTAGAGTTTTTGTAAAAATATTTTTGATGATTTTATTTCTTTTTTTATGTATTATTAGAATTATTGAAACTTTAACAATGTTATACCAATAATAGAATTTTATGGAATGTGGTTTTTTATTTGAGCTATTGGAATATTACTATTTGACTTTTAGTGATTTTTATTATTGTTTTTAATTATTGCTTTTAAACTATTTGGATTCGTATTACTAGGAAGATCAATAACGTATAACATGAGCTATTTTTTTAATAATTTATGCTACAGGTTTCGATCAGATTTGTGATGGAATTTTCGTTGCAAACCTTGATACGACGATTTAGTATCATTGTTTTCGATGAAAACATCTGTCACAAATGGCAGCATATTTGAGATGGATTTTCCATCACAATGTTCAATGGATATTTCATCGCAATTTATGTACGAGATTTCATCACATATCCACTGCAAAATATTTGCAACGGATCTATTTCATCACAAATACTTTTGTGCCGTGGGTTTTAACAATGGATTAAACTCTATCATAAATCCACCACAAACCAGGATTTGCAATAGATATCCCTTATTTTGCGACCGATTAGTCTGTCGTAAAAGGATGAATTTTCTATAGTGATTCAAGATCCATTTTCTTGCATACGTTCATCATAAGAGAATTTCAAGTGGAATAATAATACAAACATTAAAGAGGAGAGAAATCATTGACCCATTCTTGAAATATGCATGAATTTGCACTCTTCTTTGGGAACAATTATTACGTCCTCCGATCGAATGAGAGAAACATTCGGTTCGCAGGCAAAAATCCCGCGGTACCGAGGTGTACCGAGTTTTTTGAAAAACTCGGTACACCTCTGTACCGCGGGATTTTTGCCTGCGACCGAATGTTTCTCTCATTCGGTCGACCGAGCCAAATAAAACTTCCTTCTTTGGTAGCTTTGTCCATAACTGCATAAATCATCCTTAGAAGGTTGCATCTCTTGAAGCTTGCATGTGAAATTTGGAAAGTTAAGTCTCAAAGCAATTATCGTATGCTGAAATCTTACAAAATGCATGAATATACATGGAACTTGAAAAACCACTTGAAATATTAATACATAAACCTTTTAATAAAATTTGGATATAAATAACTGACCTTTGAATTTCCCATAGTCGATCATGACTTATTGTCTTCTTAATTTTTTTGCAAATGTTGACTAGTCGGTAAGGGTAAATTAGGAATAAACTAATTTGCATGCATTCACATCACTATTACATCTTTTATTTGACCCATTTAATTAATATTCATAAAATCAACACTATTTTAAAATAAACAAAAATTAAAGAAAGGTGATGATGCATAAATACATCAAAATATCAAAATACTTATTTATTATTTTGCATCACAAAGCTTATAAGCTATATAAAAGGTCAATTTAATTAACCGACAAAAATCGAAAGTGGACAATGATAAGAATAGATATATAAAGAGAAAGGATGACTCATGTCCAATATAAGGAATTCATGTCTCAAAGGTTCTTCTTGTTCCCCCCTCCTCAAAGGACAACAATTTTTATGAGCATGAGAATCTAAAGTGACATTAATTTAGCCTAATAATATAATAGGAAAACATCATCAAAGATAACTTTATGAGACTTTTGACTTTGTAGATGTAGGTATTACACATTTCTTCTTTCTTTGTAAGGCAATGTCATGATAAGGGTTTTTTTTTTTGTTTAGGGAGATCACAAGTCAAGTAGGGAATGATGGATACTCAATTGACTTTGAGTCCATAACAGGCCATTCAATATGGTAGGTAGTTACTAAAAATGTAATGATTCATCATGTATGAGGACATATGTCACCTCAAGTGTGTTTTGACTAGGCGATGAGCATAAAAAAGTTTATCAAATGATACTTATCAAGATACCCTAGGATGCATAGGAGGGGTTTGAAGGGCAAGTTGGCTAATTGGAGAAGTCAAGGAAGATGAACAGGTGATCCAAGAGGCTGTCATGGATGGATAAGTGAGACTAAGTCATTATTGTCTCGAAGGGGGCTCATGAAATTTTTTAATAGATGTTAAGTCTAGGAGGATTGTAAAAGATACTTAATTATTGAAATCAATAAGAAAGCTAAACGAGAGCTATTGGACAATGCTAAGTTACTAAGAGTGAGAAAATCTAAATAAATGTACATAGAAATGCAGGGCCATATCTTTGGTAATATGTAAAGAAGCCTATAAAAGTAGGTCTAAGAGGCCTGCTTATAAAATGAGGATCATGTCTTTGGTAATATCTTATGTAGAGAGCTCTTGGGAAAGGCTAAGCTACTAAGAGCATGTAGATCTAATGGATTAGAGGGGTTTATTGAGTAAATGGAGCTTGAGAAGAGGTACTCAGTAAGGTTAGCTTCTTAGGAAATTGGTATGAATGTACCAGGAATGATGGGTGAAATGATGACCAAGTTAGGAGGAGCAAATAGTCAAAAGGTTTGGACTATGCTCAAATGAATTTTTTGATAAACTTGAGGTTTGAAAGGTGCACTTTTGAAAAGTGAAATGCATGATGATTCATTAGATTTATCTAAATTCAAGTATTATAGGAATAGTACAGGCGAGCTCAAGTGAATTTCCTTGATATGCTTTGTTCTTATGTGGAAGACTGATTGTGCGCAAGAGCGATAGCAGAGGTGTTTTTGCAGTGGATAGTTGTGGGAGAATGTTTGGGAAGTTTAAGTTCTGCAACTAGACGTCTGAGCCAAAAACCTGTTGAAGTAGCTGAGGCAAGGGAGCGGTATTCAGCTTCGGTGGAAGATTTTGCGATTGTTGCTTGCTTCTTGATTGACCAAGGAATAAGATTGGAGCCAAGAAAAGTATAGAAGCTAGAGATGGATTTACTGTCTGTGGAGTCCGTGGCCCAGTCAGCATCCACAAAAGTGTGAAGTTGTAAATCTCCTGGTGTAATTGGTAAACCAAATTAGGACATGCCTTTTATGTAGCGAAAAAGTCGCTTGAGAGCTTTGAAATGAGTGACCTTCGATTCGTGCATGTGTTGGCAAATGTAGTTTGTTGCAAAGGTATGTCAGGACGAGTGATGGAGAGATACTGAAGTGAGCCATCTAATGTATGATACAGTTGTGGGTCGGTGTAAGGTTGATCCATGACTGAGCTGATTTTGCTTGATGAAGGTAATGATGTTGGTGCTTGTTTACAATCGGTGAAGCTGGCTGTTTTAAGAAGATTGTCGGCGTAGTGTTATTTTTTGATAAATAAAGTTTGAGACTAGGCTTCTAGGCTCCAAGGGTAGTCATCTTTTCAAAAGTGACTTTTATTTTGGGTTATTTTTGATGCTCCTAGATGAAGCTTCAAAAATCATTCTGAGTCCCATTTGCCTTCGATTTTTTACGTGTATAAGTATTTTGTTGTATTCGTTTAAGCTTTATTGCTTAGTTCTTTTTGTTTGGATTTTTAAGCTTTTTCTTTTTTTTTTTGCTTTTTCATATTGTAATCATGTTTGTAACTTATTCATTTTATAAATTAAATTGGGCATAATTGCCCCTAATTTTCTCCAAAAGAAAAAAAAAAGAAGATATGGCTTGTACATATTCATTAATTTTAATTATGATTTTTAAAAAAATTAAATAAATTAAATTATAAACTCATTATATATATAATTTAAATTCACTGCCTTTTTAATAAAAGCGTAATTATCAAATAATTTTTCTTTTTTATTTGTACATGTTCTTTGTCTCTTTGATGCTACGAAGTGTCGTTTTGTTACGAGGGAGGCCTCTAAAATCAGTTCCGTAAAATCGGAAGATAAGGTTTGAATGCTCTCTGAACCCTTTATTCTCCCTCGCCAAAAATTTGTACCCGTATTTCGTTCCTCACGCATCATGAGTTCGCCGGCGGCGTCTCTCCATTGGGATCATTCTCGTATGCTGTCAGTGCCATGGAATGTCCATCACCGGAGTATTCGTCGCACTCTTTTCTTTTCTGCTTCTTCTTCTTCTCAGTTGAGCTGGAGTTGGTCTTGCGTTTCGAAAAAGGTCCAATTGCAGCTAATGCTCGCCAGGTATCCTCTTCTTTTCCTTCTGCAATTTACTCAAGCCTCCGATAAATACTCCATTATTACCTTTTTCCTGCTTCTTGCTATTGGTAGATCTTGCAGGTCATGTGTTCCATGCCGAGCAACGATGAAAACAGAGCCGGAGAGTGACGATGCAGAGGTAAAAACTTGGCGCTTTCTTTCAGTCTAGACATTTGATTCTGAATTACTTACGGTATTACGTACACCAAAAGAGTTAAGATGCTTTTCTTTCTATATGAGGATATTTTTGATTGATGGAAAGCATAGGGAGAGTGAGGGGAGAAAAAGAGAGAACCTGATACCTGAACTTTTAGGCTATAAGCGTTAAGTTATTCTTCTTAGTTAGCTCCAAGGTTATTTCATAGAACACGTGTCACTTTCAATTAGATTCTTGCTTATGATCATCTCGAAAGAGGCTAGGTTCAAGTGGAGGCAAAAAATTCCCCCTTTTACCCTACATGTGATGTTTATAGTAAACCCAAACAAAAGAAGCAAAAAGAGCGAGAAAACTCCACAAATTCAATGGAAAACCCAAGAAAACAGTAGTTTTATTGCAAGAATCAAACTAACGGAAGAAAAATAACAAGATACAATTGATCCTCAATTTGAGAGGAGGATCTATCTCTCCCAATCCCTAGACGCTGCTAGAGCCCAAGACACCAAACTCCAAGAACAAGAACAACCCAAATAATTTGCCTAACCCTAACCCTAATCCCCTCTTCCTATTTAAAGCAAACAATCCCACTTGATCAACGCTTCCTTTACCCCTCCTTCTCCCTGGCGCACTCCTTATACTTCAAGGGGTTCCAATATCACCTCCAAGTCCTCTGTCAATGTCGCTAGTAGCTCAGAGCGTGTCACATGCTCCCCAATTGCACTCCTCAGTTGGGATACATGGAAAACATGATGTATGGCTATTGTCGATGACAATTTCATCCTGTATGCCACTGCTCCAATCCTCTCTAAGACCTCAAATGACCCAAAATACCTTGGTGCAAGTTTCTCATTCCTCCTGTTAGTGACGGTTTTCTGCCTGTAGGGTCGGAGTTTTATGAACACCCTTTCCCTTACCTCAAATTGGATGTCCTTCATATGCCCATCTACCTGTTTCTTCATAATCTGCTAGGTCCTCAATTAATGCCTCTTCAATTCCTCCAACATCCGGTCCATCTCCTCTAAATACTCATCTACTGAAGAAACTAGAGTGCTATTATGTCCAAAATGCATCATGTGAGGAGGATCCCTTCCATACAACACTTTGAATGGGGTCATCTGAGAAGAAGAATGATAAGAAGTGTTGTATCAATACTCTGCCCATGCCAACCACTTGCTCTATAACTTAGGTGTCTCCGACACAAAGCATTGTACATTTGTTTCTAAGCTTCTGTTGACCACCTCTTTTCTAACCATCTTTCTGCAGGTGGTAGGCAGTGCTCCTATTCATTACTGTCCACTGTAGTCTAAATAAATCCCTTCAGAAATGGCAGGGAAATACTATAGACTCTGGTACTCTGTGCAGTTTGACCACCTCCCTGATGAAAGTTGATCCCACTATTATTGTTGTATATGGATGTCGTAGGAGAATGAAATGTACATACTTGCTCAATCTATCTACTACTACTACTAGAATCACTGTGAACCCTTTTGATCGGGGTAATTCATCTATGAAATCCATGGATGCCTCCTACCCTTGACCTGTTAGAGCTAAAGACTATAGTAATCCTCCTGGAGACATGACCATATACTTGTTCCTCTAACAGATTTCACATATGACTACTATCTCCTCCACATTCTTATGCATCCCCATCCAATACAACTCTGAGGCAAGTATTATGTACGTCTTTTGCACCCCTGAATGACCCCTAATAGCGCTCCAATGGAACTCCTGGAGTTGTCATGGAATATGTACTGATGTCCTATGCAAGGTTTAAAATTGCGTAAATAAGCCTCGAGGCGGTGTGAGGCATAAGCCTCACGGACGCAGAATTGCGTAAATGAGAATTTAAGGGTTTTAGCAGGTAAATAATAGCAAGATTCTATCATACAATAAAAATATCTAAATGACATGTGAAATTAGTGGAAAGTAAGAAAAAAGATGCAATAAAATCATGTCCCAAAGTACAAAATCACAAAATATTAGTCTATCAAAACTCTGTGGTACTTTTCTTCATGTAAGCAATAATTTCATCATTCATCTTGTCCGGCACATTTGCACACGGTGCTACGTTTTTATGAGAGCATGATAAGTGTTCCTTCATGCGGGTTACTCCGCCCTTCACCACTTTTTTGCAAAAATTGTATTTCAAATACACAAGTCTTCTCACCGCCGCCTATGTCAACTTGTACATTGTATTTCCAAGAAGGGTCCCTCCGCAGTGACGTATTAGACTTTTCCTTGCCCTTAACCATATTTTCTAAAGGAAAAAAGCAAAATAAAACAAAAACTCTAAAAAAATTTAAAACCTTAGTTTTCCTATAAGTTGAAAAATCATACCATAAACTTTAAAAAAACTCTAAGAACTAATCAAGAAATGATGTAAGGGGAGGCCGAAAATAAAGGGCTCACCGGCGAGCGGCGATGCCAGCGGGAGAGGCGCCGGAGACGTGCGGGAGATCCGGCTTCAGGAGGGATCGGGAGCTTGCGGGATCAGGTTCGGGATGCTTGCGATTTGGCTTGGACCGGTAGAAGGGAGAGGCAATTTTCATATTTATTTAAAGTGAGTGGGGCCCTTTCTATGAGGCGCACGCCTCAAGCAAAATTGCACAATAGCGCAATTGAGGCGCGCCTCACTCTGCTTGAGGTGTAAGCCTCAGCAAACACCAAAATTGGTTAGGCCTCAAGGCGTCTTTGGTCCAAATTGCGCATATGCGCACCTTGAGGCGTGCCTCTTATTGCGCAATTTTAAACTATTGTCCTATGCATCAAAAATCTCCCCTGATACAGAAGCCTCTCACCCTCCAACGAATTCTCTGGGTGGCTACTCCCATTCTTTAATAAATCAGCCATAATCTTTCCTAACTCCTCATCCCGCGCACTCTCCTCCTTAATGGCCTCCCAAACCAACATCAATGGGATTGACACTATTATCGCCTATAACTCCCCCATACATCTGGACAATGCATCTGCCACCTTGTTCTCCATTCATGCATATACTGGATTTCAAAGTCATACCTCAACAACTTTGACAACCATCTCTGGTGCTTCTCAATCACCATTTTCTGCTCTAACAAGTATTTTAAGCTCCGCTGATATGTCATGCCGATGAAATGTTGGCATAACAAGTAGGGTCGCCACTTATGGATGGATAACACAATGGCCATCAGTTCCCTCTTATAGATTGATTTCAGCCTGGCCTTGGCTGTCAATACCTAGCTAAAATAGGCGATGGGTCGATGGTTCTACATGAGTACTGCTCCTAATACATACCCTGAGGCATCCATCTCTATTGTAAGGACATGAGTGAGGAAGTCTGGTAGGGCCAAGACCGGTATATTATTCATGGCCTTCTTCAAGCTCTCAAAAGCTGCTGTGACCGCCTCTCCCCATAAGAAACCATCATTCTTCAACTGTTTTGTCAGTGGCCATACGATGGTGCTGTACCCTTCACAAACCTCATGTAGTACTCTGTCAGTCCTAGGAATATCTTCTATTTCCTAAAATTCTTAGGCACGGGCCATCTTAACATAGCTTCAATTTTATCATGATCGGCCGCCACCCCCTCCTTAGACACGATATGCCCCAAGTACTCCTGACTATCCTGTGAAAAACAACACCTCTTCAGATTGGCTCTCAGTTGGTGCTCCTGTAACACCTCTAACACCCTTCTCAAGTACTCCTAGTGATCCTCCTCGGACCTGCTATAAATCAGGATATCGTCAAAGAACACCAACACAAATTTCCTGAGATAGGGTCTGAAGACTTTGTTTTCATAAGGGACTGGAAGGTGGCTAGGGCGTTAGCCGTTAGTGAGGCCAAAATACATCACTAGAAACTCATAATACCCTTCATGAGTTATGAAAGCAGTTGTTGGCACATCCTCCCTTTTTATCTTGATCTGATGGTATCCTGACTTTAGATCTATCTTGGTGAAAATAATTGCCCCACTCAACTCATCCAATAGCTCATCTATCACTAGGATGGAAAACTTATCTGACATAGTTTTCTTATTCATTGTCCTGTAGTCTACACAAAGCCTCCAACTCTCATCTTTCTTTCTAACCAGTAATATCGGGCTAGAAAAAGGGCTACACTGGGCCTAATAATCTCTGCTTCAAGCATCTCTCTAATCAACTTCTCAATCTCATCCTTTTGAACTTGAGGATATTGGTAAGGCTTGACGCTGATGGGTGACACACCTTCCTTCAAAGTGATATCATGCTCCTGCTCCTTTGGTGGTGGCAATGCTTGAGGTGGCTGAAAGACCTCATTGAATTACTGAATCAACGGCTGTATTGAAAGAGGAACCTCCTCTCCCTCCTCTAGTATGATCCCCTCCAACCTATTTAATTCCACTAGATAACCTTCCCCCACCTCTTGTATACTCCTCACCATGATTTTAAGTGATACCATGGCTTCAAAGAGCCCTCCATCTCCCCTTATCACTTTTCTTCTCCTTTCTACCACCAACTCCATCGTCAATGCCTCCAAGTTGACTTTGTTGCTCCTAAGATCTGCATCATTTCATTCCCATCATGATATCATTGCTCCCTAACTCCAATATGAGGAAATCGTCCCTCACCTGAACTCCATGTATGGTCAACAGATCCCCTTTCTTATCTCCACATTCCATGTTCCCATCGTCACTCCATAACATCCTGTATCCACCAATTTCACCCCCAATTGATTCACAACCTGGTTGGAGATGAATTTGTGGGTAGCCCTACTGTCTATCAAAATCACTACCTCCATATATACTATTTCTCCCATCACCTTTTTAGTATAATTCAGAGTGAATCCTACCACTATATTCAAGGAGATCTTCGTTATGTCCAGATACAGCTTGTCCTCCATCTCTCCCTCTACCTCACTTTCACCTCTCTCATCAATTTTCTCGTCATCACAGACGGTGAGAACCTGAAAAGTTCGTCCATACACATGTATCATGGGGTATACTTCTCATCACATTTGAAGCATAGTCCCTTCGCCCTCTTCTCCTGCATCTCCTTCTCCGTTAGCCATTTGAAGTTGCCCCACTTCCTCCTCATACTGACTTTTCCTTAGGAGTCTCTCGAAGATGGCCTGCTGCAAGACCCTTGGGTGCTAGAAGAGTGGTAGTCATTTTGTAAGAGCCACCTGAATTGTAGCCCTTGGCTCCCCTCTATTAGTACCTATGATATTCCACCAGTTGTGCCAGCTCCATTGCCTCTCCTAAGTCATGAGACCTCATGACCCTCACTATCACCACAGCACTGATCTTAGATTTGAGGCCCTTCATAAAGTTCTCTTCCAAATCAGTCTTCAATAGTCGGTCCAATCGACTGGCCAAGTGCTCAAATCTCCCACGGTGGTCTGCCACTGATCTGTCTTGCACTAGTGCAAAGAATAGCTCATAGAAGTCCCCTTTCCTGTCGGTTCGAAAACGTTCCAATAAGCATTCATTGAATTCCCTCCAACTCTGTATTAGTCTCCTATGGTCCCTTCACTGGCATCACGAAAACGCCTTTCCTTCCAAATATAATCCCGCTGCCGTCAATTTTTCCTTCTCAGTCAGCCCATTGATGGTGAAATACCTCTCCAACTTGTAAATCCGCCCGTGTGCGTCCTCCCCTTAAAAAATGGGCATCTTCAGCTTTCGCACCTTCGTATCTCTTCCATTCCTCGTATTCCTACATAATTTTCCCTTTCCCAAGCCCAAGTCTCCCGATCTTCCCTTCAACGCTCATACCCAAACCCCTTTTCGCTTTCTCATATCCTTTCTCCAAAATCAGCACCCTTCCCACCATAATCTCCTTATTTTCTCTCCCAACCAACACCCTTTGGTTCATGCCCCTCATGACCACGCCTCTCTCCATACCTTCCACCTTTCTCCTCTATGATTTCCTCATCATTGTCCCTCCTACGAAATTCAGAATTCGTACTTCTCCCCGCCGATCCTTTTGTCTCTGATACCGCCATTTGAATTTGATTTTTTAATATCTTCTTCACCATCTCATGAAGATCAAAAACTTTGTCTTCCATGGATGAAATTCGATCTTCCACTATTTCCTTCATTTGGCTCATCTCCCATTCTTGGCTTTCATCAATACCCGGATTTTTGTATGTTAAAAAATCTGGATATTGACCCAAAAAACAACAAAAATCCCTTCATTTGGCCAAAAAACAACTGCTGGTTTTTCAGAAAATTACCCACAAACAGTCCAAACATCTGCTATGATACCAATTTGTTAGTAAAAACTTGAATATCTGAAGTAAACCCTAACAAGAGAAGCAAAAACAGTAGTTTTATTGCAAGAATCAAACTAACGAAAGAAAAATAACAAGATACAGTTGATCATCAATTCGAGAGGAGGATCTATCTCTCTTAATACCTAGACACTGCTAGAGCCCAAGACACCAAACTCCAATAACAAGAATAACTCAAATAATTTGCATAACCCTAACCCTAATCTCCTCTTCCTATTTAAAGCAAACAACCCCACCTCCTTAGCCCTAGCGGCCTTCCTCCCTTCCTAATTAAAATCATGAGTGGGTCTCACTCATACTTGGGCGGCAAAATCAAGAGGGCGGATTAGGCTTCTTTTTTTAGTGAGCAGATACTTGGAACAGTGTAGGCTGAGAAGTTGAGGAAATGATGGGAGATTTGAGGGAAAGAAAAAGAAGCGTGAATTGTTTTCATGGTTAATTCTGGTGATGACTAAGAACCATCATATATGTGGGGGTGTGTTTTTAGGTTTTTCAATGCAGATGAGTGTTCCATGGAATTAAGCAAATATATTTTTGTCAATTGGCCTAGCTGGTTGAATTGTTTCACTTAGTCGAAGTCCATGTTACGGTAAAATCTTGTCCTTGATAGAAATCCTTAGATCATCTTTGTTGAAGCATTCTCTTGCATCTTTTAACTTTCTGTTTCTTCTTTTATACTTTTTCATTTGAGCATTATTTATTATGTTTAGTTGCTAGCCATTCTCTTACGTATTATTCCACAGAAAATATTGGATAAAATTTTGTGCTCATATGGTCTTTTTGACTGAGTGAACTAAACTTCTTCAGGAAAGAGAATTATCTGAGAATGGAACATCCCCATCTGCGGTTGATGGCCTAGTGGAAAACAGCGGGGATCTTAATTTTAAATCTACGAGCGATCTAGTAAATTTCCTATCTTTTAGTTCACTGTCTTGTGGTATTCCTCTTCTTGATGTTCTTTTTCTTTTGGTCACCTATCAATTAGATTCAAGTTTCACGATAGTTTCCTATGCACATTTTCTAATTTTCATCTTTGTTCAAATCAAATATAACTCTGGCTTTGTTGTTGGGCTGTCTTCTTAGTGAAAATGCATACATTAATCTTTCTATCGTTTGAAAAAAGCTCGTGTTTAGTTCTTTTTTTCCAAAAAGCACAAAAAATGCGTGCTACTTATAATATGTTAATAATGAGTGTTATTCAAATGTAGTAATTCAGTGTTTTTCTTTTTCTTCTTTTGTAAGGTATTCATCTCCTTTTCTTAGGAAAAACATGAACCTGATTCGATGGAGTTGCTGGATTTGAAGGACTCAATTAATAACATTGATGGGAACTTTGCTGGTGAAGTTAACATCCAGGTAGTCTTGAATTTTAACATGCAATGATGGTCTCTTAGTGATGTAAAATTTCATCTTTTAGGGTAGTAGTATTCATACCTTTTTTTAGTTGAAATAATGTTGATTGAGCATTTTATAGGAGAAGGATGAAGACATGGACGTTGCTAGTGGTTCTCCTTTACCTGGAATGAAGGTGAATGATGCTAAACTCTCATACAGGAACAAATATTCAAACTTTGCATCAATTTTGTTTGTCATCTAATGTACTTTTCTAACTGTTGCAGAGTATTGGAGAATCCATTCGAATTTCCAAAGCCACAATTGATATTTTTAAAGATCAAGTTTTTGGTTTTGACACATTTTTTGTGACAAACCAAGAACCATATGAGGTATCAAATTTTCCCATTCAGAGTATCAGGAGTATCAGTTTATCACATATTACTACCTCATGTTTTAAAGTGAAAGCTTCCAATAGTAATCAAACAAATGCCAAAATATCCTATTAAGGCCATAAAAACTTGTTTTACACTAGCTAGGTCATGCGCAACTGAGAATGTTAAAGTAGAGTTTGTTGTAATTCAAAGTTACTGAACTAAATTAGAAAATGTTTTGGGGTGCTATCACTGAAAATACCTTAAGATGCTTTAAACTTAGCGGGAACTTGTTCATATGGATAACTAAATGATTGTAATATGGAACATGATTGATATGCCTAGCACAAATAGTTGGGAGATGGTCATTGACGGAGAAAACTAAACAAAAGCGAAAGTAATTTTTTTTAGTTAAGGTTAAATTATTTTATGGTACTTTTAGTTTTTTTTTCCATACATATTCATATGTTATTATTTTATAGAAGAAACAGTTTCTCTTTGCAAATATTATTCTTAGCAATTAAAAGTGATGAAAAAGGAATCAAAATGATTCTCTGACTATTTGTGAATGATCAAAATTATCCCATGCTATGTAAAATGACGAATTTAGTCCCCAAACTCCTTTAACAGGGACCAAAATGGTCCTACAGTCCAAATTGGATGTTAAAATTAATAGAAAAACTTTTGGATTAGCGCAGAACTCATGGAGCATGTGTAACTCTCAGATTTATCTGGAATTGTTTTTGTCATCATGCTTACCCTAATCGAGACAGAGAAGCAAGCACGTGACAAGAAGCAGGTGTAGCTTCCCATGGGTTGGCAATGAGCGGGACTATCATGGAAGGTCAAAGAAGGTGGGAGAATAACGACAAAGCTTTCCTTCTTTGGTGCTGCATGCATCAGAATATTGTATAACTTCCCCAAGCAAATGAGACAAGCCCCCCCTGGCAGAACGAAGAGGAGCTGTCAAAACTTCTCGAGCAACTATGGCCGATAGAATTTTATGTTTTTTTTTTGGGAAAGAATTTTATTTACTCTTTGCGTTCATGCAAAGCAAAGTAAATAAAAAACAAAAATTGTTCTTTCGTAAAAATAATTTCAATCAATAAAGGGCCACAAAGTTAACTGTAAACAAATTTAAGAATATGTTGTGTTCTCACTAAAAGAATTGATTTCAATAAAATTAATATACAAATTTAAAATTTTAAAATTCTAGAACAAAAAATAAGCTTAATCTATTTCATTACAATGGAATCAAAATAACACAAATATTAAACAAATTTCTTACTAAAGATCAACTTGCTTGACATCCTATACAATCTCAATTCACTCTTGTACGTGAGATTCATTGTTGTACATGAAGAAATAAGGCAAGAAGAAAATTAAATTTACCAAAAAATGATAATAAAAATTATATTCCAAAAATACCCTCATTTTTAACGCCTTAAACTCCAATTTCCATCTCCTAAAAAAAAAAAAACTCCAATTTCCATTAATTTGGATGGTGAGATCATTTTGTTTCCTGTTTGAAGATTTTGTGGACTAAATTGTAACTTTTTATATAGTCTGACATCATTTTTGGCTCTTCAAAAAAGTAAACTTAATCTATTTCATTACAATAGAATCAAAATAACACAAATATTAAACAAATTTCTTACAAAAAATCAACTTGCTTGACACCCTATACAATCTCAATTCACTCTTGTACGTGAGATTCATTGTTGTACATGAAGAAATAAGGCAAGTAGAAATTTAAATTTACCAAAAAATGATAATAAAAATTATATTCCAAAAATACCCTCATTTTTAACGCCTTAAACTCCAATTTCCATTAATTTGGATGGTGAGATAATTTTGTTTCGTGTTTGAAGATTTTGTGGACTAAATTGTAACTTTTACATAGTCTGACACCATTTTGGCTCTTCAAAAAAGTGTAGGGGGATCATTTTGATCATTTTCTTTAAAGTGATTTGATAATACTCATATATATTATAAGAGGATAAAAATAATAAAAATTAAATTAAATTGTTTGTTGTATTGCAAGGTAATTGTGGTGGCTGGCAGCACATCTACCCAGGTGGGGTGGAGGGCCTCCTTTATCACCTATAGGAGAAGTGGATTTAGGGGGAACTCTTTTGGAAAGATGTAAGGAGAATTTATTAGTGGATTTGGGCTTTTTAAGGGTGGAGATTGTGGAGGGTTCGGGTTAATGTTATGTTTTAGCTTTCTACAACAATTTTTGTGCGTGTTTGGGTTACTAGTGGCTACTAGGGAGTATGGGAGAGACGATTCACCTCTTGAACAGTGAATCAACTTGGGTCTTATCTTACTTTGCTTGGAGTTTAGTAAATTCATCTCTCTTGGTGTTGTTTCTGGACCTATTTGGAGTAAATTTAAGTTTTTTTTATATTGTTGTTTGTTGTTTGAATCATGAAATCCTATCAAATTGGTATCAGAGTAAGTTTTTGGGACCGATGGCCGAGATAAAGAGTTGAGGCGTTGGAAGAAAAGTTTGAGGGGGGAGTAGGGCAGCTGAGAACAAATGCGCGATCATTGAATGAGTGTTCTTCAACAAAGAAAGGAAGGTTTGAGAATATAGAGGAGATGATGAAGCGGATATTGGAGTTTCAAACTAAGGCAGCTTGATGGGGACATCAGATCATCATGGAAAGTGGTGCAAGCTAAATAGAGCAAGGCACAAAGAGAAAACAATCAAGAGAAACAAATCTTACTTTTATAAAAATTAAGACGTAACTTTGAGAACAAAATAAGAAAACAACTATCTTTAGAAAAGACAACTTCCAACTATCAAAACAAAAGAAGACTAACAAAGAAAACAATATTTTTAACAAAAAAAACTATCCTCAGAACATCCTTCAAGAGGACTCCTCACATGTACCGATTGTAGGAATAGTATTTAAAATAAGGTTTAGATATGCAAACCAAGGGTCCACCACAGCTAGGGGGATTCAATGTCCTTTTAACTTCTCCAGCAAAATGTCACCAAACCGTCCAAAACTTCTCCAATCAGCCAACAACCTTGCTAAAACAGCCAACAAAAGAAACAGCCCACAGCTTTTCTAAAACAGCCAACCAAAATCAGCCAACCACTTTGCCAACGGAACTAGAAGAAAGATACAGGTGGGGTGGAACTTGCGTAGAGAAGAAGGAGGTTAGAAGACCGAGAAGAAAGAGGAGAAGCTCGCAAGCTTTCCTAGGGGAGAAGGAGAATGGAAAAAGCTCTCAAGCTTTTCCAAAGAAAACCCTCAGGTTTTGTAAGCACTTAGCTCTCAAATATTCACCACTTTATTGGAGTGCTTTCGAACAAAGTAGGAGGGGGACTATTATGAGCAATTCTTTGCTTTGACACAGGTGGGAATGATGATGGAGTACTAAGAGAGATTTGAGCTTTTATCAGGATGTTTAGGGAGACTATTAGAGATGGTATTAGAGAGCAATTTCATGAAGGGGTTCAAACCAGAGCTGAGAGCCACTGTGCGGGTGGCAAGATCCTGTGACTTTGGAGAGGCTATGGAGTTAGCTCAGTTGATAGTGGATAAGAGATCAATTGAGAGGAGTAGCAAAGGGGGCAGTTTTGGAGGTTCTTACCGCACGATGATAACCTTCTTTGCACCTAGGATGTTGACTGTAGCAGGTAAAAGGGAAGCTCCAAAGGAGAAAGGATTGTGAGCTTGGCCGGGAGGAAACTTTGAATGGCTGACTAATATGGTGTTGCAGGACAAACGGGGTAAGGCGCTATGTTTTATGTGTGATAAGAAGTTTAACTCCAGGCCATAGGTCTAAAAATACACCTTATTGGTCATTTTTGTTTGTGATGAGGAGGAGATGGCCAGAGTAAAGACAAAGGAAGTGTTAGAGAAAGAGGAGCCCTTACACTTGGAGGTGGTGGAGGTTTTGTTTAATTATGTAGTAGGGTTCATTCTGAATCATGCCATGAAGATGAGGGGGCAGATAGGTGGGGAAGAAGTGACGATTTTGGTTGATAGTGGGACTACCCACAATTTCATATCCAATTAGGTGGTTGGGAAGCTAGGGCTAAATTTGGTAGACATGGGATGCTTTGGGGTGATGATGGGCATAAGGAAGTGGAGAAGAGTAGGGGTATTTGTCAGGGATTGGTGGTGGAGTTGCAGGGGATTCACATCAGGGAGGATTTTCTTTCGTTGGAGTTGGAAAGTACGGATTTGATCTTGGGTATGAAGTGGCTACAAACCTTAGGGGATACCAAGGTAGACTAGAAGGCCTTAGTTTTGGAGATCCAGGTGGACGAGAGAGATGTGATGATTAAGGGAGACCCTAGCTTATCCAAAGCAATGGTTTTCTTGAAAACCATGGTGCGTGCCGTACAGGGTGAATGAGTGAGATTCTTGGTGGAGCTCTAAAGCTTGGAGGCAGGAGGCACCCAGGAGATAGAGGACATTCCAAAAGTAGTATAGCTGCTTCTCCAACAGTTTAGTGAGGTATTCCAATCTCCCCAAGGATTGCCTCCTCCATAGGAGCACAAGCACACTATTATTCTTAAGGAAGGAGTCTCTCCCATTAGTGTCCTACCATACCGTTACCCACAGGTCTAAAAGGATAAGATTGAGAGGTTGATTCAGGAGATGCTTGAAGCCGAGATCATCAAGCATAGTGTGAGCCACTTTTCTAGTCCCGTGTTGCTGGTGAAGAAGAATGATGACTATTGGAGATTATGTGTAAATTATCATGCCTTGAATAAGGAAAATGTATCACACAAGTTTCCCATACCAGTTATTGGTGAGTTGCTAGATGAGTTGCATGACTTGGTGGTATTCTCAAAGATTGATTTGAAGCCTGGGTATCACCCAAGGTTTAAAATTGCGTAATTGGGTATTGAGGTATTTTTTATTTCATGAAAGTGTTTTGAGGCGTAAGTCTTAAAATTCAAAAATTGCATAAAGTGAAAATAAAGGTTAAAATTGATTCTTTATATAATATCCAAATAATATGTTGAAGAATAACATTTTAACTTTCTC